TTACAGATTTAGATTTATCAATGATGCTTAATGAAAATTTGTCACTCGATCCCTGGTAAGCCGATATAAGAATGCAAACCTGTATTTATGATAACACCACCACCACGCTTTTTTAAAAATTGAATTCCCAATTGTGTACCCTTGATTACAGCATTTAAATTAATATCGATAGTCTTCATCCATCTATCTGTTATCATAGATACATGAATCAAGATTCATATACGAATGTTCATTCAAGAAAAACATATAGGTGATTATTAATTTACTTAACCCGTTTGGTCATAAAATTCATCAGCTTGGATAATTCCAGAATTATTGCATACAATCTTTTAGGAAAATTAACTGTTAACCTATTAGCCATCAAATAAATAATTAGGCAATTAAAAAGTACTTACATCAACACCACCAAATTTATTCTGCGCAGTATCAAACAACCGGCGTAGATGTTCAACGTTTGTTACATCACAAAAGACAAAGATTGTATTGCTTTTATTGCTAGATAGTGTAATACGAAAATGATTTATTATTTGGATGTATTAAAACAAAAGATTCCAAATCTAAATACATTTGATTCAACTCAGTTACGAGCTCTTGGCCTGATTTTTCGTCAATATCACCAATAATTACTTGTGCACTATATTGATAAATATTTTAAAAACAAAACCAAATAAAATGACAAATGGATCATAATGTATTGTTCATTCGACAAACCCTTCGTGAACGAGTCGCCGAACTAAAGCAGCACCAATGCCATTCGAACCACCTGTTACAATTACGCTTTTATCTTTAATTTGCATTTTTTTTTTGAAGAGGGAATATAGTAAATTTGAGTAGTATGAAAAAAAAATCCGATTATATAGTTGAGATATCTAATAAAAGTAATAATTACATATATTAAAAAGCCTGTAATTTCAGCCTGCAATCAGCCTGCAAATCCAAAATAGGGGGATGGCTAAAGCCAGATACATCATGAGATTCCGATTTTGAAAAATTGATTGAACCATATGGGCTAAACGGATGCATTTTCATTAGAGTGATATTTCCGAATTGCACATTGTTATGCCCGAAATGGAAATTCAATAAAATTTTTAATTTTTGGGTCTGTAATACGGAAACGGTAAGCCACATCGATTAAGGGTTCCAAAATTGGATTTACCGATAGTTTCGAACTATTGAAGTGGGATAATAACCGGTAGAAAAGTTAGTAACTAAAAGAAAATAGAAAGTTAGTAACTAATGCATGAAAGTTAGAAACTAACGAAAGCAGAGTTAAAAACTACCAGGTAAAAGTTTCGAACTATCAAAATAGAGAAAAATTGTATATAAGGGAT